TTTTAAGACATTTTGATTTTTCCCTTCTGAACAGAAAATTAATTGGACACATGTTTAGTCATAGTCCATGAATATTAGCCATAACAAATTTAAGAAATGGCCAAACCACCCTGAATATGCCTCATTGCTGAAGAAATGCTAAAAGCGTTAAATTAATGGGATGCTCAAAAAAGATTTGTAAAAAGTCATTTTCTTGACCTGTGTTAACTAATTTCCCAATGATAACACTTTCAGACTTCCCCTCACAGGAATCTTAACAGCAGTCTTGATTTTATAAACTGAAGAAGGCATAAGAGTAATATATAAGTTTAAGAAGAGAAGGGGAAAAAGACAAACATAAGAACAGAAGAAAGGTTTACATAACAGACACAGAAAGAAAGAAAACCAAAAGGGAGACACATTTTAGAATTACAGATTTCTTGGAGACCACTGTGTTTTACCTGCATCTCCCCAACCCCAACAATCCTTATGTTACTCTCAGTGTTGTCATTAGATAACCAAGATTGATTATCTTGAATGAACACATCCACAAAAATAGGCAAAGTAATTATTTTTATTTCAGTTTGTTACAAGCGTCAGAGGCAGTCTCTTTTGAGAGGAAAAAAGATACTGTGCCATCAAATACAAGGAATAAAAAATAGATTTCAAATAAACTAAATCAAATAAGCATGAGTTTCTTCTAAATAATTAGAAAGTTCCAAATTGGCAATCACAATAACTCAAATGAAGTAAAAGACTTCAAAAGAAGCCAAATTCAATTTTTCTACTACTGATGTTACTCTCTAAATTAAACTGAAGACATTATGGTCACTAACTCCCAAGTGACAGTGTTTAAGACACAGCTGCCTCACAATTTATTTTATAGTATATCCAATGTTTTTTTATTGCAATTGTCAACATTACGCAATAATTGCATCTTAATGACAAGTACTCTATATTCAGACACTCAATCTCTATTAATATTATGAAATTTAAAGAATGTATTCATCATCTGCAAAATGTTTTATATTCTATGAGTAATGTCCAGGATAGTGATCCTGGCATTAGTATAATAAAAAGAGGTATTTTTGCTTACTCTGAACATCTATAGTGCTTATTATCGTTACTACTTTGGGACACTGTTTCAAAATGCTCAATTTCTCACATGCCTCTGTATGAATGAATCCCTTAGGGCAAAAGGGACACCTTTTATTTATTGAACTCTTCCACACAATATCACCCAAATGGGGATGTTTATTAATATTAATTGATTGTTTTTAATTGAGTAATTCCACTAATAGAATCTTTCTAAAAAAATTTAGACCATACATACCTGTTCTTTACTCTGGAATACCTGTACTTGAAAATTTTCTGAAAATTCAAAGAGACAGCACAAAGCAAGAAGGTCTGTTTAAAATATTTAGATTTTACTCCTGGTAAGTGAGTGATCTGAGGGACAGATGAAGCAACTCTGCTGTTGGACTTACTACCACCCCAGAATCCTTGAAACCCTAGTTGCCATGCACATTTTTTGGGTAAATGCACAGAGCATTTGGGGTTCGGGGACACCCATACCAAGAGAAGTACTAATTACAGCAGGCCTGAATAGCAAACAATGGAGAGAAAGAAAAATACCAGTAGCCATATACGTTCCAAGGGGAATAATACACCACAGAATTAAACTACAGAGAATAGTGAAGAATCCATAGAAAAATAAAAAACCAATAAACCAGTTTAGAAAAGTGGTAGATTATAAATACACAAAAATCAGCTACCTTCCTAAATGCAAACAGTGAGCTAGAAGAGGAAGAAAGCTATCCCATTTACAATCACACCACAAATAAATACTTAGAAGTAAATCTAACAAAGAGGTGAAGGATATCTATCAGGGAAACACAAAACTGGTATTAAAAAGATGGAAGAAAACATAAAGAAATGGAAAGATATCCCCTTCTTGTGGATTGGAAAAAAACAACATTATCAAAATGACTGTCCTTCACAAAGCAATTTGCAGATTCACTGCAATACCCCAAAAAAAATTTCAATTGCATTCTTCAAATTCATATGCAACCACAAAAGATCCTGAATAACCAAAGATTTTCTGGAAAGGGGAAGAAAAGGTCATGTTATACTTCCAGATCCCAAACTATATTATAAAGCCATAATAATTAAAACAGCATGCTATTAGAACAAAAACAGACAACAAAACAATGGAACAGAACTGAGAAACCATAAATAAGCCCAAACATATGTGGACAGCTACTCTATAACAAAAGAGCAAAAAATATATGAAACAAGGAAAACCTCAGCAATAAATGACACTGGGTAAATTGAAGTTCCATATGCAAAAGAATGAAGCTAGACTACTGTTTTATTCCTATATAAAAATTAACTCCAATAGATAAAATACTTGGATATGATATCTGAACTATAAAATACATAGAATAAACACACTCATAGAGGCAACATACACTCCATGACATAAATTTCATAGAGATTTTTGCAGATTCATCCCCAACAGCAAGGAAAACAAGAGAGAACATAAACTGGGATTACATAAAAGTAAAAAGTTTCATACAGTGCAGAGGTCATAATTAAAACAAAGAGACATTTTATGGAATGGGAGAAAGTATTTCCACATCATAAATCTGACAAAGAACCAGAGATGTAAGATATTTAACTTTATAATATAAGGAAATACCAAAGATCTACAAAGAATTCATACAATTCAACAAGAATACAAATACAAAAAAAAAAAAAAATGGCCAAAGGAGACAAACAGGAACTTCTCCAAGAAGACATACAGATGACCATGACACATGAAAAAAAAACTTATCATCAGGGAAATGCAAGTCAAAACCATGAGATACAACATCATACCAGTGAGAATGGCCTATATCGAAATGACCAGAAACAAGTGCTGGTGAAGGTGGGAAAAAAGAGTTCTCTTCTGCTGTTGGTGAAAATGAAGACAGGAAAAAATGGATATGCCATATGACCCAGCTATGCCACTCCTAGATAGCTGCCCAAAGAACACAAAAACACTAATTTAAAAGGAAACCTGTATTCCTCATTTATAATAGCACTATTTATAATAGCCAAGATACAGCAAAAACCTAAGAACTACCAAACAGATGAGTGTATCAAGATGTGGTATATGTATACATCAGAATAGTACTCAGCAATCAAAAACAATAAACTCATGCCTTTTGCAGCAACATGGATGAACTGCAAGAAATCACTGTAAGTGAAATAAACCAGAAAAATAACAGATGGTATCACCTATATGTGGAATACAGGAAAACTAAATGATGTGTCAGACAAACTTAAAGATCAAACTTTAAAAGCCAATCGTATAATAATAAACAACTACATACCAGAGACATTTAACAGGGGTAGAATGGGATCAAAAATGGTGGGGGGAGGGAAGTGTACTGGTCTATGGTGATAGCATATGGGTGATTTGGTGATGGGAAGCCCATGGGGATTACAACTGAGGCAGAAAAAGGCACAAAATGATGTAAAAATAAACTATTATATTATTATTAAAAAAAAAAAAAAGCCAGCCATGAGATCTGCAACTTTCAAAGCAGGGCAGGAGTAGGGAGGAGAGAGAATTGTGAGGAGATTGGTGGAGAGCACAGTGAGCTAGAGTGGAAGACACTGGCATTGAGAGTGCCATGGTGACTACAGCTGGAGAGGGGAATCCTCTACTGGGAAAACATAAGGATGTAAAATGATGACACTTCAATGACAGCAAGAATGATATATTTTTTTAAATTATTAATTTAAAAAACACAGAAGCTAAAAGAATATAATCAAAACATTTCTATTTTAGGTAGGTAGCATTAGATAAAATAAACACATTTTCTTTAGATTTGCCCTAATACTCATCAAAGTCCTTCAAACGCTTATATTATGGACCTGGGTGGGCCCCAATATGCTTTGTTTAGGTCCCTATTAGTGGACTGGAAAATAAAAGCATCAGTAATAACAAAGCTTTACCCTCTGTCCCCTCCTCTGTGTTCAGGATTTTCCTGTACTCAATCAGAGGTCACCCATACACCTTCCACAAGTTTCCTATGGCTAATGTTCTTTAGCAAGTCAACATTACAATGGATCTCAAATTTAACATTCGTTTGACTATCTTTAAGGACTTGCTAAGAGACAAACTGTTGGTTCCATCCTTGAAGTTTTCTAGGTCTAATGAGGGCCTACATATTTGAATTTTTAACGTTTTCAGGTGAAGCAGAGGCTACTTGCCAGGGACCACAGCTTGAGAACTATTAATACCCTCAAATCCTTTCTGTCATGTTTATTATACCTGATTAATTTAAACAAGTCAATTTTAAGGGCTATGATTGATTCTACTTTTAGAGAAGCTTGGTTTCTTCACTTATTATTCTAAATAATAGTCAGCCTTATGTGAGTGCCAAATATCATTTTCACATTTTTAAACAATGACAGGTTGACCCCTTAACTTTTCCAATTCAAAATACCACACAATCATCTGGACTAGAAGACCATCTCTACATGGAAGCACCAACATAGTTAGTCTAGATTATTCCAAATTAAAGTTATAGGGTCGTGCACACTATCCTGTCTAGTATGTTTCTCCTCCCTTCCATTTGATTGATTCTATTGACATTTTAGTTTTTAGCTCATGGGTGACTTTTTCAGGAAAACCTTTCTTTTCTTCCCCATGACTATATCAAATCTTACTAATATGGGTTATCAGAGTTCCTACATTCTCTCCTTTGTACACCTTGTCACAGTTACATTACTTTTGTTTGTATAAGTACTTTATTGATAGCTATTTTCCCACAATGCACTGTAAGTTCCAAACAGGCTGGGAGTATTTCGGTTTTTATTACCATATATGTTTAGTGTCTGATACAACATCAGACACAAAGTGTTCAAATAAAGGTAAAAAGATCTGAGCTTTACTAAGATAGCTAACAGAAATTGTTTCTTTCTGTACTCTACCTCTTGATCTGTTTTCCAGCTCAAAAAAGACTTACCTTTTCTAAATAGTTCTTGCAGACTTTCAGCACTTTGGTTTAATACAGCCCATATTTCTTCCTCCTGCAGTGGTCCACCCCGAACCTCCAGGGCCTCAGCTAGTGACACGTGCATATTACCTAAGAAACAAAAGGGAACAGATGACAGATGGTCTATCCATAAGCAACTTCAATGCACTTATAATAGCAGTTCTTTATCACTGATGTCTCAATATAGTTTCAACCTAAAAATAATCCTATAACTTGAAATTCACAGAAAGTAAAGGAATTAGAGTAAGGGGAGGGAGGAACACACCCAACTACCACTTGGTCTAGGTCAACAGAGTCAATCTCAGAAAAAGATTCAGAGTATAACGGTGATGATGGGAAGACAATGACATCAGGATACCAGAGGTGGTGATGAATAAACCAAAAAAGACTGAACTGAAGGCATTTGCCTACCATCTCAACCATCATCCTCAGTTATCACACCACAATAATCCTCTCTCTGTTATTTTTATTTTCCTCTATTATAGTTCTTCAAATCATTACATTGAAAAGCAAAAAAGACATTGAAATGAAATCATTGTAAAGTGGAAGAAGAATGTAAAAGGGGAGAAGGAGCTAAAGGGGGAAAATCTTAAAGTCAAATAATTTGGGTTACCAATATGATTTGGGGTCTATTTTACTATCAAAAGGCTCTCCTTTACTAAGCATAGCCATGTTATTGTTTTTTTCTTCAGAAGCTATGGGCTACATCGTAAATAGAGTGTTTTAGGAAAGACTCAAAAAATAATCATACTATGTAACTAGAGTAATTATGTCTTGGTTAACGTAGGTATTACTGTCATGACTTTAAAACTAATCACAGCAGGCCCTACCTGGTGGCGCAGCGGGTGAAAGCACAGCACTGAGAAGCTTAAGCCAGTTCCGCATGAGTTCGATTCCCGCCTGCCCCTAAGGTGACCACATGGCGCGGCAGACCTCTCCTGACCCGCCCGCTGCTCCCCTCAGCAGTGTACTTCATAGATCTACCTGTTCTGCTCCCCACTCTGTCTCTGGTGAAGCCTCTCGCCGCCCCTGAGCCTCTGGCCTGTACCCCAGTCTGTATGCACAAATAAATAAATCTTTACAAAAAAAAAAAACAAAAAACTGATCACAGCAAAGAAGGGACGGGCCCTACAGACCACAATATAGGACTATGGGTACTTCAGTGGTGGATGTACCGTGGTTAACATAAATCTGAAGATGTGCAAACATATACAACCAACTAAATCATATACAGCATTGTAACCCATTGTTACTTCAATAAAAGATATAATTAAAAAAAAAAAAGAAATCACAGAGTTGAAAGGCAACCCTCAAAACTGTAAGCATCTTTTAATTCAGGAAGGTTCACAATTAAGTTTATAAAAGCTCAGCAAAATCAATTTGATATTTTAGTTTTTTTAAAGCATCTGTACATTTAGTATTCTAGATGTTTATGTTTATGAGAAATAGGTCAATCAGAATAAAAGATCAGTCTAGTGATAGTTTAAATAATATTAATTGAGAAAATGGGTCGAGACATTTAAAAATGTCTAAAGTGTCATTGGAACGTATCAGACACATAGTTAGAAACTTCTAAGTTTTCATTCATTAGAAGATTTATTTAAGTACTTATAGTATTTTGGTCAGATAGTTGAAATATTTTACAAGTTGGTTTTAGTTATATGGATGCAGTTAAAGCATTAAAAATGTTTAACAATGAAGATGAGATTAACTTGCAAGAGGTCCATTAGTAGTCACTATAACTTTCTATATTTACAAATAGAATGAAATAAGAAATTGACATTAAAAGCTTAAGATTTAGGTTTTAGATTTCTTAATTAAGAACATTCATTTAAAAAATTATTTTCAGTAAGCTTTTCTGTATACATTAGAGGCTACTTTTTTTAATTTTAAGGGAAAACCATTGTGATCCTAATTTATACAATGCTTTCTAAGCTATTACACCAAATGTGTTACCCACAAAAGAAAAAAAGAAAGGTATATTGTCCATTTTCAAAATTAAAACTTCTGCTCATTGAAACGAGCTGTTAAAAGAATGAAAAGCTGGGTTAAAGCACAGCATTAAGAAGACAAGAGTTCGATCCCTTCAGCAAGAGTTCGATCCCTGCCCCAGAGGTGATCCACATGGCTCAGCAGACCTCTCCTGACTCGCTGCTGCTCCCCTCTGCAGTGTACTTCATCAGTCATTCTGTTCTGCTCCCCACTCTGTTTCTGGTGAATCCTCTCACCACCCCTGCACCTCTAGCCTGTACCCCAGTTCTGTATGCATAAATAAATCTTTGAGAAAAAAAAAAAGAATGAAAAGCCACAATTTTTTTCAGATATGTGCAGGTTACCTAACCGATAAGGGACTTTTATAAAGTATACATAAAAAATACCCAAAACTCAATAATGCGCGGGGGGGGGGGGGGTTAAAAAAAAAGGGAAAAGATTTTTTTTTAAAGATTTATTTATTTGTACATACAGAACTGGGGTACAGGCCAGAGGCTCAAGGGTGGCGAGAGGCTTCACCAGAGACAGAATGGGGAACAGAACAGGCAGATCAACGAAGTACACTGCTGAGGGGAGCAGCGGGCGGGTCAGGAGAGGTCTGCCACGCCATGTGGTCACCTCCGGGGCAGGTGGAGATCAAACTCAGGCGGAAGTGGCTTTAGCTTCTTAGTGTAGTGCTTTAACCCGCTGCACCACCAGGGAGGGCCGGGAAAAGATTTTAATAGATACTTCATCAAAGAAGATATATGGATTTTTTTTAAAAAAGCACATGAAAAAATTTCAACATCATTAGTCATTAAAGTAAAAATTACAAATCAAAATAACTGGAAATCTGACTATATGAAGTATTGGCAAGGCTATGATGGAAATGGGGCTCATTTCACATACATTGTTAGTGGAAAGTAAAATGGTACTCTGGGAAACTATTAAAGGAGATTCTTAAAAAGTTAAATATGGGCCTTCCCTGGTAGCACAATAGGTTAAAGTGCAGTACTTATGAAGCTAGCTTCAGCTGCTACAGCAAGAGTTTGATCCTGGCCAGAGAGGTGACCTACATGGCACAGCAGACCTCTCCTGTCTCACCCCTGCTACCCTCAGGTACTTCATCAATCTGCCTGTTCTGCTCCCTATTCTATCCTTGGTGAATACTCTCACTGCTCCTGTACCATCTCTGGCCTGTACCCCAGTTCTGTATGCATAAATATTTTTTAAAAAGTTAAATAGAAGTCTACCGTATTACCTATCCATTCCACTTAAAGATATTTATCCAATTAAAAAGTATGTATATGTCTATAAAAGACTTACATACCAATGTTCATAGCACTTTTATTACTAACAGGCAAAAATTAGAAATAATCAAATATCTATCAACAGGTGAATGGGTAAACAAATTTGAGTATATTTGAATTATTAATCACCAATAGAATGAGCTATTATTGCTTGATAGATGCAAAATTATGCATCTCAAAATAATCATGTTGAGTATAGGAAGCAATATGAGTATATGATTTATTACTTCATTGGTAAAAATACAGGAAATACAAAGTAAGGTTATAGAAAGTGATCAGTTGCTTGAGGAGAGCCTTGCCTAAGATGAGGTATGTGGGAGTAATTACAAAGGGAGGTGAGAAAACATTTGGAAATAACTGAAATATTCATTGTCTTGATTGTGATGATTCCATAGGTATAAATAACTTAAATGTATTAAATTGTACATTTAAAAATATGTACAACTTATTATATACCAATCACACCTCAATTGAACTATTTAAATGAGAAAAAATAACTAAATCTGAATAAAGCAGGGTGAAGATTCCTTTTGTTTCATAAGCTGCTAGGACTTATTTTTTTTTTGGTCAGAAAAAACTACTCAACTTCAGGTAGCATTGCCTTTAAAAAATGATTTATTTACCAAAAGTTAACTTCTCCCATTAAAAAAAATATATATATAAAACTGAAGAAACTGGGCCCTCCCTGGTGGTGCAACAGGTTAAAGCACAGCATTAAGAAGCTAAAGCCACTTCTGCAGGAGTTCGATCCCTGCCTGCCCCAGAGGTGACCCACATGGCTTGGCAGACCTCTCTTGACCGGCCCGCTGCTCCCCTCAGCAGTGTACTTCAGTCAGCCTGTTCTGCTCCCCACTCTGTCTGGTGAACCCTCTCACTGCCCCTGTACCTCTGGCCGGTACCCCAGTTCTGTATGAACAAATAAAAATCTTAAAAAAAAAAAAAACTGAAGAAACCAAAATCTATGGTTATAGTCTAAGATCTTCCATCCTCAAATAGCCAAAGTATCTTAAATGCTGCATGACACACTGAAATTAAGATCTGTAGATTGATAACATGGCAATTTTAAATATCATTACTCAAGATAGCAATCTCTTGTTTTTCTCTCAACTTCTTACATCCTCAAACATTTACAGCTGAGCTAACTATTATAACTATAGGACAATTTAAATAACATGAAATCACTTCAACCTTTTAACTACTGATCAAGAACCAAGCTAGAGGTATACAAAGAAGAAAAAATTAAAATCCTATTAGGATTCTTGGAGCCAAAAAGTTAATCTCCCCAGCGTAGTAAATACATTAATATTTACTTTCATTAGCAGTAAGTATAGATTAGGTAATAGAGAAAATATTGTTTGATACATTAGGAGAGACTAAGAAAAAACTGAGATTTAAAGGAGAAAAAAAATTCAGTGACATTTTAAGTGGATATTGTTTACAGGTAGAATAAAGCATATGTTTAAACATTTTTATTGTATAGATAGTTGGATTAAATATTTGTCAAATTTCCCATTGTACTTTCACATAAAAGAGAACTCCAATTCAAAGCAACTTTGAGTTGCTTTCAAAGGATAGCTTCAAAAATACAAAGTTGGCCCTCCCTGGTGGTGCAGCAGATTAAAGCACAGCACTAAGAAGCTAAAGCCACTTCAGCATGAGTTTGATCCCTGGCCCTGGAGGTGATCCACATGCCCCTGCACCTCTGGCATGTACCCCAGTTCTGTATGAATGAATCCTAAAAAAAAAAAAAAAAATGTAAGCTTAAAATGTCTAGGTGGGCACCAGTCACTAAATAAAGCAAACA